ATCCCTTTATCCATGGACATGGCAAATGTCTGGGTAATGGGTGACATGTAATCGACGTAACAAAATAAGTACAACGAGAAATATGTATGGATACTTTTAACACAAAATTTGGTGGGAACTTTTTTGATCTTTTATTAACTTTTTGATGGTTATCATTTCGAATAGTGTCCAGAGGTTAGTTAGGTTGCAGTCCATTGGATGATGATTTATTTTTCCAACATGAAGTTATTATTTTTAAAAGGAAGTGGCAAAAAGTTAGGGGCCCTGATTCAACCCTAAAAAAAGTATTCCACACAAATTTGTTAATTATTAACCTGATGGAAACACTGACTTAATTTGATTGAACATTTGAGTAAATATGGTGTTTTCAAGTAAGCGACCAAAATCTCACCATGAGCTAACCATAATGCCTCCTCGGTTTGTCTTTTTGTGTCGTAGGCGTCAGTAGCAGAGATTAATGTTCCAGAGCGCATGTATAAACTGGTTTTAGCAGGAGACGCAGCAGTTGGCAAATCAAGCTTCATACTCAGACTCTGTAGGAACAGATTCCACAGCGCGCTGAATTCCACGCTCGGTATGTAACTCGAATTCCACTGCAGTTTTTCTACACGAGACTGTTTAAACACACTCGGGTATAACATAGGCGCGATCAGATGCAATGGAAAAGCTTTAGTGAGGTATTGGTTTACATCCGTTGAACCGGAGCGAAACAAACTTCTCCCAAATAACGGGTTTCTCCTTTATGATCTGTACTTTTAAAGTAAAGAGGATATTTGTGTTTCCTTGGAAGATATTGAGTCTTTGTGTTTCCTTTCTTCAGGCGTTGATTTTCAGATGAAAACACTGGTTGTAGATGACAAAACCATCGCATTTCAATTGTGGGATACTGCTGGCCAAGAAAGGTATTTTTTTTGTGTAAAGCGTTTTGAAGGGTGTCTGCGTTCGGTTCCAAATTCCTATACGATTGGTGTTCATCGGTGAAGTGGAATCAAGAGTAATTTAGGGGCCGGTTATTATTTTTTATCAAGGGGGGGTGGGGGGGAGGGGTGGAGGATTTTAGTTGTGTTGCGGTGAAATTTAATTGGTCCCTCCCATCATTGGCAGTCAATTTCTATATTCACCCGTTATACTCTGTTGGCGACGACTGATACCTCCTCCGTCCTTTCTGAAAAGAATGTGATCCCCCCCCAAAAAATCCTCCACTACCCCCCTCCTACCCTTCCCCCGGGCGATAAATGATGACTTGCGAGTTTTTATATGATTCGTAGCATGTTAAGCTCCGGTCGACTGAGCCTACTCAAATATTCTGACTTAAGTGTGGATTATGCTTCAGGTTCCGCAGTATTGCCAAGTCTTACTTCCGCAAAGCAGACGGGGTGTTATTGCTGTATGACGTCACTTGTGAAACATCCTTTATTAATGTTCGTGATTGGGTGGAAGCTATTGAGGTAAATATTCCTTGATTGTTTATTACCCTTTAGTTGCCTCGTCGCTGATCTTAATTTTTGCCATTAAATTCATTTTATATCATTTCAGGACAGTACATCCAAACCGATTCCCATCATGCTGTGCGGCAACAAGACTGATTTGCGCCAGTCTTATATTGCTGAAGGAAAGACCGTAATTACAGAAGAAAATGGGGAGAAATTAGCGAGAGTGAGTTATCGAAATTAAAATATTCTTATGGTACGGGTTACCAAGCTGTATCGGTTGACGTTACTGTCTGGTGGCCTCTAACAACAGTACGTGTGACCTGCGGATAATTGACATGCTGTAGTGGAATTAGTCAGCGGTTTCGTCAGAGCAGTTTATAAGATGACAATTTTTAAAATCTCAGATTCTTTGCAACCTTAATCAACGTCTGAGTTACGCTGCTAACGTTTTACCGATTCAAGGCTTAAATCACAGAGAAACAAACAAAAACCAAAGCGCAACAAAACCAAACGAAGACAAAAAACCACCATAAACATTTGCTGAAGTCAAATAACTGTGTTCGTTTCCATGTTTACAGGAATATGGTGCTTTGTTCATCGAAACAAGTTCAAAAGAAAACAGGAATATAACAGATGCTTGTATTGAGCTGGGAAGGTTAGAAAATATGCACTGTTTGGTCAAAAACTATTTAACTGACTTATCAAGCGCAGTCGGTGACTTTGTTCAACCAAGTCTAGAGTTGCGTATATTGTGAATTAAACGCCAAGTTCTGAAAACTAACAGACGTTTGCTTGAAACTCTACCCTGAAATTGTCTTGCAAAAATCGTTTGTTTAGAAGTACATTTCGTTATTTTCGTTTATTCTTCCAGATTGCTGAGAAAAATTGAGGATACAGAAGTGGAACAAAGCCATGGGGTAACGCTGAAAGAAGGAGACGAGAAAAGCAAGAAGGAATCATGTTGCCTCACATAGCCAGCGAATGAATGGGTAACGAAACCATAGGGATCGAGAGATATTAATGTAAAGAAACTCTGGATTTTATTTATTTCATATTGTTAGCTTTTCAAAGAAGCCATATATATTTAACTGTGTCTTACCTGTGAGATAATAATTAGTTTTAAAGCATATTTCGTCACTGGAGTGCTCTGTAAATTAGTCGTATCTAAAGGAATTTCAATCGGAATTTTTTTTAATGTGTGATGGGTTGATGTCTTATCATACCATGTATGTCACAAACTGTTTTCTTAGCATTAACATTAACTCATTTAAATTGCGTCTTATTGAAGTGACCGCTAATTTTTTAGACTAAAACTAAGTGGTATAGTCAGCATTGAGATATTTTCATTTTTTAGCACCAAATTTTTTGTAAATATTTACGACGCATCACATACAAATATCCAATTGTTTTTTGATTTTTCTAATTTTTACGCCATTAACGTTTTCCTCTCAGTAGCATAAACTGACAGGAATGAACGTAAAGCTCATGTGACAAAAAGAAGGACATGTATAATTCAGCGCAACTCGTTCGAAAAGGATGAAAACGGATATAGCTAATTGTAGTAGCTATTTGCAAAGTGTATACTGTGAGTTGTTCCTGCTTCGGGCGAGATCCATCGCACGAGTCAAAAATAGTTCTGCCAGTGAACAACAACAAAAAAAGGCCTGCGCGGAATTCTGAGAGTGAAGCGCACCTAAAGACCGCACTTTTCGTGGGCCTCACTCCCAGAGTTCTGCGCGGCGTACTAACATCAGTTTTTTTTTTTTTTTTCACTGATTTTTTTTAACCCGCGCGGCGGATTTCGCCGGATAGGAGAGACAACTTGTAGTCTAGCAATGTTTGCTTTACAACTTAACCTAATCAGCAACATCCCAAAATAGGAAGCAACTTTGCTAATTCGTTTCATATTTCGTTATGTTAGAGTTGTGTTGAAAAAACGCGTTTGGCAAAGGAAGCTGGTATTCCTGTTGTTAAAACAGGCTGTTGAACATGGTGGCGCGTTGCCATAATTACTCATACGTTTGTACTTTTACAAGTTTTTATTTAAGGACACTGAATGGTCGCTCGCGTCGGTAATCGATAAAAATCATAATTGTAACCATTTTGTATATAAATTTTATGGTCGCCATGCATTACACGACGCAGAATTATGAGATGGATGGTCTTAAAGTTGTCTTAACTCTGAACTTTGTTCTGTACCTTCCTGTTGTTAATTTGGCGGTATCGTTTTGATACCATGGCATCCATTATGCATCAGTGGTTCCTGAACCGCTGATTTATGAGGTCTCCAGACTACGAGTAGTCCCTCCTTTTTGGCGAAGCCCGTCGCGCGAGTCAAAGGAAACAAACAAACAAACAAAAAAAACAGTGAAAGAAATTGATCTTAGCGCGCCGCACGGAAATCAAGGAGTGAGACGCAGCGCGCTTACCTCAATGTTTTTCACTTTTTTTTTCTTTTTTGATGCGCGCGATAGACTTCGTCGAAAGGCAGGGACTGCTCAAAGTCTTAAGGGCCAAAAAAAAAAGCTTTCAAAGACGTAACGGTGTAATAGATGGATTCACTTCACCATCACCCTGGAAATAAATGTTCGTTTGTTACCGAGAAAATTCATGATTGCACGGTTTACAAATGCGTGTTACCTACCTTAAACCATAGACCTAACACGAACCGGAACTTAAATGCTGTGCTGAGTAGACCTTGAGGACCTTTTGTAATTGATATGCAAGGTGGATAAGTTTGTCAAAAGAGGAATTCCCCCTCCCCCTCCCCCTCCCACCACTTCTGAATCAGAAATTACAGTTTGAACGGCACAAGTGGCTGGAACCATAGTAATGTTAGCCACCACCCCATTTCTCTTCTACCCAGTCTCAGGCTTTTCTACCGCGTTTTCCTCTAGGGTCGTGTTCCCTTGAGCGGTCCTGAGCTTATGTAATTGAGCAGAAATGTTCCTTCCTCAGAACTGCCCTACTTGTTTAGAAAACAACAACAGGCGTGTTAATGAGAAAGCCAATTAATGAACTTGATGACCGAGACAGGATTTCTCCCAAAAGATGTGAGCAACCTTACTTTTCTCTCCCCTTTTTCCTGAAGCGGAGCGGTCCATTACTCGCACACCAACCGCTCAAGAAAATTCATACACAACACTACTGAGGGTTACATGCCTTTGCCTTAGATAAGCAGTCAATCTTATTAGTGAACAAATAAATAGTTGAATAAATAAATCTCTAAATGGATAAATAAAACTCTTTATGGCTTCAAGCTTGAGAGTTTTTATATTACTTTGCCATTTAGCATGGGTACCCCTGTTTGCAATCTAAAGATTAAGAAAATTTTGATGTGAAAGGTGAGCATAATGTGATCATTGTTGGTAGGGCTGCTCCAACTGAAAGCTGCTTTGATAAAACAATTCATAAGTAAAAAAAGGCAGTACATGTCTACATGAAAACTCAACCATATGGCATGATCAAACTGGTTTTTGTTTGTCCAACCTGTTCATTGGTGCACTATAACAAATTGTTTCTCATACGGATTATACTGCAGTATTGGCAGAAAGACCACTAAAGCATGCTTTGATATCTTAGCACTAGTACTGCAACTAGGATTAATCATATTTTCCTCTGGAAAATGCAGAGAGAGACCATAACAAAACATCCTACAGTTCACTTTAGCTTCAGCTGTTTCAGGCCAGCCTTCCCAGACCAAGTTATCACATATCAGTTGAAACAAGTTCTAACAGGTCACATCTAAGGTTATTTGTCCTCATCAACCTTACCACCCGCTGGGTTTTTATCATAATTTGCTCGCTGAATCCTTTGAAAAAGTTTATCATTTTCTTTGAACAAACATAACAATGTCCTCTTAGAGTAATAATTTGAGTCAATGTTCTCTATGTTGTCGATCACATCATGGAGAAGATGAGCTTTTCCAAGACTGCAGCCAGGAGCACTGTATTTGATGTGAGTAAAATGTACATGAAAATGATAATATGAAGGCTGGTAGTGAACATAAACCTGAAGTTCATCCCCAGCAACACCATACTTGTTCCGTATCGCTTCCTAAAGGAAAGAAAAAAAATAATACCAGCAAAAAATTACTTGAAAATGAACTCTTTACAAGGCAAAAATATATTTAAAAGTCAAAAACCAACATTTTAGACCCTACAGTGGGTTGTCCTCAGGATAAATAAGCACCGTCAGCTAAATTGCATTTTTTATATTCACAGGTAACTCCTGATGAGATGAGTTTGTTGACATAGGAGTTGATTTGTCTATTCAAACTAGATTTCAAATGTTGTATCATTAGGCCTGAGTGGATTCTGTGCTGATAACAAGATTTAGCCCTGCAGGGTATGCGCCATCTGAAGGAATGCGAAGGATTCTTATCTTAACATATTTTTGCCTTGTGAACAGCTCATTTTTAAACAAAGTGAACTTTATGGACATTAAACCACTCATTTCCAAAACTACATATTGTCTAAAGGAGGCATTGTACATTGACTGCTTGCAACCTGAGCTGAATGCACAGATGCACCGTAGTTGTAACAAACAAAACAAAAAACAGTCAAACTATCACACTAAAACAAAAAACAGTCAAACTATCACACTAAAACAAAAAAAGGAAAAATCTTTACACTTCCTTTATGATAAAGAGGGAAATTTCTAAAGAGACTGTGGTGCTGTGTTGATTAATGTAACTGTAAAGAAAACATCAGCTTTTAAACTCTTTATTCATTAAAACTCTATATACATTATCAACCCATTTGATAAAAACAAGTTACTTTGCCCTTAAGATAAGGGTTACCTGTCCTTTCGACAATATATTCTTCAACAGTGGCAGATGGGAGCTGTCTAGATCTCTGAGTGACTTAATCCCTCGTCTGTGGCTAATAGCCACAAGGTACAAGTTTTCAATCTGTTTCTGATCCCACTTCAGATCTGGCAACAAAGTGAAGCCAGTAGCTGGGTCATTGTCTTCAAACACAACACGTTCCACTTCGGCTTTCTTTTCTAGAATGTTGTACACCCACTAAAATAAAATGTTAAGAGTATGTATTTAAAGTCAGAGTTACAAGCAATGTAACTCAGCTAAGGGTGCAATAAAACATTGAAGTAATGAACATTTGTACTTTCTCAGAGTAAAGTAAGTTTGGTTGTTGTAGGTTACTTGATGTTTTGTAAGTCAGGGGTGCATTTTTTTAGGAATAATTAAATTGCGAAAAAAATAAGCAATTTAAAGTCTAGAAAGAAACAGAAAAAGTGTTAAAAAAGTGTTTTTTCTTTAACATAATATTAAAATAAATCTATCAATGGAGATAGTGAAAACTGTATAAGGCAAACGAAAAAAAACTGTATAAAAAAACTGTAGAAGGCAAACGAAAAAAAACTGTATAAGGCAAATGAAACAAAACTATATAAAAAAAACTGTATAAGGCAAATGAAAAAAGAACTGTAAAAAAAAACTGTATAAGGCAAACCAAAAAAAACTGTATAAGGCAATGAAGATCACTCTTATCATCATCTAGCTCTTCTGATCATCATCTAGTAACCGGTTGTTTCGCTAACATGTCAGTTCACCAACAGACAGTTTGCCAATGTCAATTCGCTAACTTCTAATGTTAGTTCGCCAATGCTTATATGTCGGTTTGCCAATGCTTATATGTCGGTTCGCCAGTGCTTATATGTCAGTTCGCCAGTGCTTATGTCAGTTCGCCAGTGCTTATACGTCAGTTCGCCAGTGCTTATACGTCAGTTCGCCAGTGCTTATACGTCAGTTCGCCAGTGCTTATACGTCAGTTCGCCAGTGCTTATACGTCAGTTCGCCAGTGCTTATACGTCAGTTCGCCAGTGCTTATACGTCAGTTCGCCAGTGCTTATACGTCAGTTCGCCAGTGCTTATACGTCAGTTCGCCAGTGCTTATACGTCAGTTCGCCAGTGCTTATACGTCAGTTCGNTATTTGGTACTGATAAGGAGAATGTTTTAAACTCTTTCACTCCCGCGATCTCACTAGTAATTCTCCTAACTGTCTGCTATACAATTCTTATGATATTAGTTTGAAGAATTTGGTATTGGATCAACTAATTCTCCCCTCATTGATAAATTTCTTGATTCTTGTCACTTGTCTGCTTGATATTGCAGTATTGAATAGTAAGGAGAAATTCTGTTTTGGTCAATTATGGGAGTGAAAGGGTTAAAAATCAAAGTATCTCGGGTTGATGATCATTTCCTTTAGAAACAATAAATTATTTGGCAGTATTAGAGCAAGGAGATATTAGATTAGATAACTCATTCTCATGTTTAACTCTTTTACTTCCATGAGTGACCAAGACAGAATTTCTCCTTACCATATTAATTCAATATCAAGGAAACAGATGATGAGAAAAAAAAAATATATCAATTAGGGGATTATTGATTGACCCAATACCAAATTCTCCAAACTAACATCATAAGAATTGTATAGCAGACAGCAAGGAGAATTACTGATCAATGAGATCTTAGGAGTGAAATTTTTAAGGGGTTAAGTTATTGTAGTTGCAGTTACTCCCATTGCCTCATTTTATTCTACATAATCCTCTGCATATTTCATTGAACAAATGCCAGTGACCCAACCAATTGTTTTGGGCGACCAGCTTCTCTCTGTATTCCAAAATTTACATACTACATCATTAATAATTTTTAATTGCGCAGTACAAAAAAAGTGCTTGTTGTTGTTGCTGATTTTCCCTATTTTGGGATATTCTGGTAATTGATAATTTCCTCATAATACTAGAGTTCCAAAATGAGGACTATACAATTAACCAAAAAAAACAACAAAACAAAACAAAACAAAACTCCACACAAACCTGAATACTAAACGATTTTTCATCAATAAATGGTAGAGTAATCGATTTGTAAACTTCTGGAGTTTCTTGAACAAAGTGTAAATTCTGGGCTGAAAATTTTTCAAGATGTTTAGCCGAAGCTGGGTAGATTATTGTTCCCTTCAATGTATTGAAACGAGATTGTGGCTGACATGTACACTGGTTGTAGATATCATTGTTAAATTCCACCTCAACACTGGTTTCTGTAGACAACACTTGTGGTAAGGTATCCTCTGAAAAAGGTGTTTTCTCCAAAAGAACGACAGCATCAGATTCTGAGTCTCCAAACTTCCCTGTAAAAAACATTAACATCAGTTACATAACTTTTTAAAATCCTTAGAAGAAGAGGAGGAAAGGGGTTTCTTTATAAGACACTTATAATGGTATTAGGATAAAGCAGAATCAACTTCAGTTTGCAATCTTCCCAGTGATTCACAAAAATCTATTAAGAGGAGGAGTCTATACTGCCCCCCCGGTTAGCTCAATTGGTTAGAGCACCAGATTGTGTTGTGCGGGAGGTCGAGGGTTCGAGCCCTGGCTGGACCAATACTCATGGTCTTAAAATAACTGAGGAGAATTTGATACCTTTCTATAATATCAAGAAATGGATAGATATTCTAGTCTTCTCGGATCAGGACAAATAAAACCATAGGCCCCGTCTCCTGCAGCGTTAGGGGTAGGAGACATTAATTTCCCACGCACGAGATTATTGTGTGGTGGATTTCCTCCCCTGGGGAGGGATGGGTGGGTGTTCACAGGGCGCTATTTAAACTAGCTATCTGCTAAACTGGGCTACCCTGTGTAAATAATCGTAAATACTGTTTATTGCAAGTATAATTACTGATGGTAAGGGACAACATTATTCCTTCCAGCAATTAGTTATAACCATTACAACTTCCAAGAAGTTGAAAGAGGGGCTTCCAAACCCAGTCTTTGAACATTTAACCAATACTATCTTTGACACAAGTGCAATGAACACCTTTTAAAATGGCTTTCTAGCATTCTCAAAGTGTTTGAAAACTGTGAAATTAAATGCACTGTAAAGGGAAATTCCCAGCTTTGGATAATAAGTTGCTTGCTATGGCTACTGTAATCAATTATGTGATTGGTTGATTTAATTGCATCAACTCAGTGAAATTGGCTAATGATAGGTCTCTCATTACACTGTCAAATTACAACTCTACAGATCCATTAGTGAAAGGAAAGCAGTTCATCTACCATTCAAATTGGAGGAAATTGTACAGGTTAAAGTTACAAAATTAACTTAACACCATAAAGCTAATCCTTGAGTTCTAATAGCAGCCCATCTGGAAAAAGTAGTCATTTTTCCTAATTTATATGTTCAAAGAAACAGGACTGGCATGAATGTATAACCATATAGATCTAGAATTTGTGGGAAGCAACTTCAGAGAAAGGCTTGTTTGGATGAGAGAAAATTTCAGTGATTGTACAAGAGGCTAGACTCGTGTGATAAACATGACCAATGCAATGTAATGTCCATTTGATGAGGCATCTTCAATTTCAATGTTGGTAGACAGGCTGGCACTTACTCAAAGGAGGCTCTCATTTGGAGGCAAAAAAAGTAATTAACCTGCAGGACAACATTGCTGAAACTCTCCACGTACATTGAACAAATCTGTAACATAACTCTTTCATGTGATTGGCTCTCTGCAGGTCAGTCTTGGTATCACAGTTTGCATCATGCAAAGGACTGTGAATGCACAGCTTACCCACAATGTCTAGCCAGTATGCATCATATAAATATATCAGCGTGTCATGCTAAATAGACTCATGAGGCTCATTTACTCCTTCAAAAAGCCAACTGCCATGGAATGTTTTCAGCTCTCGAATCCATTTGACTGATAAGTAAGTAGCTTCTCAAATTTTTTCGTAGTTTTAATTAACTGGCACCAGGTCTTTGTTTCATACAATTTTGTCCGTAATCTAATTCATGATAACAAAAATGGGGCTGTGCATTCACCGTCGTCTACTGTTGATCACTCGCAAGATTAGACTCGACGTGGTGCTGTACGCATCCTTACTGAGCCGATGAAGGATTCGAAAGCTTAGATATAACAATAAGAATATAAGTGAAACACGTGTTATCCTTCTTTAATTAGTAATACGGACGTAAAAAAAAAAAAAAGGCCAACGGGAGCTATTATCACATTGCTGTTTAAGACAAGTCTAAATTCATCCGACGCATAGAGAAAATGTCAAGACGATGTTTAACGAAACATTTAATGCAACTGAAGTGCCTGCGGGTAAATTTGCATGAATTGTGAAGGAGATCGACCCACCATGAACAGCGACAGTTTTATCTCTGGCATTTTCGTTCAGGACCTTGATGAACTGAAAACCACGAAAACTTTGAATACTGTTGTCTTCCAGGTTGTTTTCATCCGCGAGTTTGACCCTCTTAGCGGGCCGCATTTCATCATAGTCAGCCATTTTTGTCGTCTCCACGACTATTTGTCGTATTTCGGTTTTTTTCGATAACAAATCGTCGATTGGCTTGGTAGCCACGCAGTTACTCTTCGGAAATCATCGAGCTTGGCAGCCATGTTGTATTCTACCTGTCGGCACGCCCTCTCGGTGCGGCATACAAAACAAGCAATACGCCGCAAATTTTAAATTCATCCTCATTTATTATAACGGGATAATCGGATGGGAAGTTTTCAAGACATTTAAAGTCTGCGTCCCGGGAGAAGACTGAAGATATTTAAGGTGTGGGGCTACCAAGTTCCTGTTACCTTATCGGTAAGGATAGTGTTGGGAAATGTTTCCTCAATAGTCGGTAAACTCCAGCTTAGCCTGTAAAGAGCAAGTTTATTCTGCAGAGGAAGAAATCACAGTCGTTTTCAAGTGTTATCACAAATGATCCTATTTCCTGGTGAAACAATTTTGTGTCCTTTAATTTCTCTACAAAAGCAGCGGTAGAAATGCTTACGGCAAGGTCTAAACCGGTCGAGTTGTTTTTAACATTAGCACATAGGCTTTTGCTTTCTTTTGATCTGTTGGTCGTAGATTTGGCGCTAATATTGGTGCTAAATTTCCTAGTATAGTTCAGAATTTGAAATTGAATAACGTCAATTTGGTTTTTAATCGTTTCCTTTAATTTAGCCATTTATAGAAATTGCCTCACGCCTGCTACTACAAGCCCAGAACCTGAGCGCTTTACGTCACTTTGAAATGGACTTGATATTGTCAACGTTGATAAAATTCTTTTGGCCGATTACCACTATTACCACGAAATACCTGAAACGTTTTCATTTTTGAAATATTTTCTCCAGCAGTCGTAATTGGCATGCATACAAACCGACCTTGATAGATTACGTTTGAAGATTTTTTTTTTTCGCTTTCGCAGCCATTAGCGTATTTTGGCTATCTTGCCAACATATCTTTTAATCATCATTAATTCTAGAATTTCGCAGGTAATGATTTAAAGATGTATACATTGAGAGGGTATTTTAGTTTTTTTGTTTATTAAATTATTAATGCGGATAAAAATTGCATGTCTTTGTGTAAGCTTACTATGACCGTACGATACATGAGAGTTTTTGTAGCGAAAAATCTTTACTTCTTTTACTTCAAGCACTGGCTGGTGATTTGAGGATAACTTTCCGTTTATCGCTTTCTTTATTAGAACTTTTTGATGACTACTTAAGCTGGTTTTTCTCAAGTGAGATTTAACTGGAATTGACACCATAATAGTTTTACTTTAGTCAGTGTTATTAGTTACTCGATGTTTCCTTTACGTTTGCAGGCTCTGCCGAAGTGTCAGCATGGGGAAATTATTATCAAAAATATTTGGTAACAGGGAAATGAGAATTTTAATGCTTGGTCTCGATGCTGCAGGGAAAACAAGTATCCTAGCAGAAAGCTGTTCAGTATTATAAACCACCACATTTTTTTCTCATATGCTATTGGTATCATATGACCAAATACACTCTAGCTAAAACTGGGGAACAACTGAGGATGTACCACCAGTGATTTTCATGGAAGAGTTTCTTTCAAATTTATTTCAAGGTTATAGAGTAATAGCCATTATTACAAAAGAAGGGACATGTTATGTTGCTATTTTTTATAATTACCTATCATTGTTACTTATTTTTACAGGAGCGTAACTACATAAAATTGGGATGGACAAAGTCAAATGGTGGTTAATTTTTGCTCAAATGTTTTAAAATGACTTTTTTTTGCCAATTTTTGACAATTACAGAAATTTAGTACCATGAAAAGAAGTTTAAAAGTATACTATGGACATATTAGCAAAATATTGTTATTCTTTAACTAAATACAGCTGTATTGTATAAACTGAAACTTGGACAATCTGTGACAACAATACCAACGGTGGGGTTCAATGTAGAGACAGTATCCTACAAGAATGTCAAGTTCAATGTTTGGGTAAGTTGAAGATCATTTAGCTCTTAATTATTAATTTTAGAATACTTGGTTTTCAATGGTGTTAAGTTGTTTTGTTCACAGCTGATACATACCCATTTGCTAACATGTTAAGGTCACACACTGTATAATAAGTAAATTGTATTTCCAGTTGTATTTGGGCCTATATCAGGAGTTTCATTAACATTTTGGGCAGAAGGGCAACTGGTTTTCACAGGCAGGAAAAACTTTTTGAACTGAACTTCTTTATGAGACAAACTTTGACCCAGATGGTCAAGCCAGGTAGGGCAAAACCATCTATACAACTGGTCAATTTGCCCAGTGCCCAGCCCTTAATGAAACCCCTGCATGTGTTCACCAGAAATGTTTTGTTTTTCTTTGTTGTAGTTCAAGATACTTGACTACAAGCTCTTAGTCTTGCTACTAAATATGTGTTACCAGCCTGCTAATCAGTGAGCATTTACTAAAACCCAGTCAATCAATGGTAGACAATGGATGATGGATGACAGAATCTATTGTCTACTGTCTACTGTGTATCATTTACTGTCTGGGTTTTACTACATGCCTAATTAGTATAGGTAATCACATGGGGCCAAGTAAAATTAAGGATTGATATCACACGTGTTTTCGGAAGTTGCTGAAGTTGCCAGAGTCACGCAGCGACGAGGGCAATTTCTGCAACTTCCAAAAACACAAGTAATATTAATCCTTAATTTTACGAGCAACCATGTGATTACTTGTTTATAATATAAGGGGCAAATTGTTTTTTTACTGATCTCGTGCAAAGCATGACACCATTATTACAAAACAAACAGAAATTTCTTTACCTTGGCAGCTGGTTCTAAGGGATTTTCAGCCAATCATTTTAAGTAATTTTGCTTGGGGCAATTACAAAAAATTAAGAAAAAATGCCCTCTGTCTTGACCAATCACAATTCAGTAATTTTGCCCCTTATATGATAAGTGATATGTATATGTTTTCTGGGTACCTCAAGACTTATGCTTTTTAATTTTTAGTGCATTTGTATTTTTGTGTTTGTCTAATAAGATATATGTATTTATAATGTATGTCACTTGCGGTCAATCCATATATAGATAAAATGTTTGTCGAAGTATTACTGTATCTGAGTTGGGAACCTATAAATGGATATAATTCAAGAACCACTGAACTGTCTCTGTCATGTTCCATAGTCATAATCATATTTCATACAAGTTGGATTATAACATAACCGAAGTAAAGCGCGCGCTCTGATTGGTCAATTTAGCGTCCCCCATTTGCCCATGGGTGTACGCTACTGACATGAGCAAATGCAAAGACTATTTTTCCGCGCGCGCTTGTTTTTTTCTGGTCGCGTAAGATTTGTTAAATAAAAGGGAACTCTTTAGCTACAATGTATCAATGTTATGTTATAATACAAATGGTAAACACTACAGCGTACACTATTGAGTTATGGATGCACTTGGGAGGTTTGCTAAGCACTCAAGAAGCTAGAGTCGCTCTCGGCTATCGCCTCGAGCGACTCTTACGCTTCTTTCGTGCTTAGCAACCTCCCGCGTGCATCCATAACTCAATAGTGTACGCAATTTCATACAAGTTGGATTATAACATAACCGAAGTAAAGCGCGCGCTCTGATTGGTCAATTTAGCGTCCCCCATTTGCCCATGGGTGTACGCTACTGACATGAGCAAATGCAAAGACTATTTTTCCGCGCGCGCTTGTTTTTTTCTGGTCGCGTAAGATTTGTTAAATAAAAGGGAACTCTTTAGCTACAATGTATCAATGTTATGTTATAAAACAAATGGTAAACACCACAGCGTACACTATTGAGTTATGGATGCACTTGGGAGGTTTGCTAAGCACTCAAGAAGCTAGAGTCGCTCTCGGCTATCGCCTCGAGCGACTCTTACGCTTCTTTCGTGCTTAGCAACCTCCCACTTGCATCTATAACTCAATAGTGTACGCTGTGGTGTTTACCATTTGTTAAAAATACAAGTTATTGCATGTGTATTGCAAGCCAAGGACATTTTAACCCTTTTACTTCAGGATGTTGGTGGACAAGACAAAATCCGTCCTCTGTGGCGGCATTACTATGCAGGTACCCAGGGCTTAATATTTGTTGTTGACTGTGCTGACCGTGATCGAATTGATGAGGCCAGACAAGAACTCCACAGAATCATAAATGACAGACTCATGAAGGAGGCTATTATTTTGATCTTCGCAAACAAACAAGATCTACCAGATGGTGAGTTAAGATGTGAAGGCTGTAAAGAGGAATGCGTTTAGATGCAGCTTATTAGAGTTGTCTCTCTATCATTTCAGAAATTCAAACTAAAACCAAACTTTTGTGTAATAATCCTCCTACTGACATAGCACATCACCTTCTATCAGAGAACTGTTCAATTCCAGAATTCAAAATATACTGCTGAATGTTGTTGAAGTAGAAGGTTCTTTTATGGTCCTAGATAAATTATCTTGATTTTAGCAAAATACAATGGGCCATCATATATAGCATACTATTGAAGCAATGGATGTCATTTTACCCTACAGGACCTCTTGACCCTTTCATTGTATCCCTTTCATGTTTCCCTACCACCCATGTATACTCGTGGGTGTTAAAAATGAGAACTGTATCTGTGAACATTCTTTCTTGCAGCAATGAGGTCTCAATCCAAGATCCATGATCATGTTGGGCAACCAGATCCTACATTATTGAATTTAAATAAATTATTATTATTATCACATATTATATCCTCTGTTTTCATGTACACTTCTGAATGGAGAAAGGCAATGTGTCTTTGGGAATTTTCCTACTTCCTATAGTGGAGACTCAATCCCAAATGCATGGTCCAATGTTAGCCATGTATTTTTGTGATTAGAGTGAGGCAGTATGTTTAACAACTATGGATATATGAATAATTTATGTCTTTGTGAAGTTTTTTTTCTCTGTAGTCAGGGCACAATCCCAAACTTGTAGTCCACTAGGAAAGTGTTAGCTCCACCCTTTCTTTTCTTAAAAAATAGGAAATAGTAAGGTAACTAGTTTTTCTTCTCTCACCCTCATGTGTAATCTTTATTCCAGCCATGAAACCTCATGAAGTGCAGGAAAAACTGGGTCTGACAAGAATCAGAGATAGAAATTGGCATGTGCAGCCATCATGTGCAACAAGTGGTGATGGTTTATATCAAGGGTTACAGTGGCTAAGTTCTAACCACCGAACATAATACATACCCTACATGATGGAGGATATTTTCACAAGAACTGAAATTAATTTTGAATTCTTTTAAAGTTGTTCCATATCTGAAACACATAGAATGGTTTTCTACACGAAATGAACACAGGGAGGTTGTTGATTTTAGACCAGTAGAAGCAGTCAACATTGAATACGTGGAGGAAGCTTGACAGTTGACTGCCATACTGTTGTGTGTGTATTACACTGTGTACTGCAGTTATGCAGAGCAAAGACTGGTTTGTTATTTTCTTCTGTATTGGGACCGGTTTGAGGCATACAATAATTAAATGAAGAGCAAGAGGGTCTGGTAAACATCAATTTGTTATTATTATTATTATTATTATTATTATTATTATTATTATTATTATTATTATTATTATTATTATTATTATTAACAGTGGTGCTGCTTAGGTATTTGGTGAAGGTAAGGAGACCCAAGTATGCTGTTCAAGTGAATTATTTATTGTTCCTGACATTGCTGAAATTGCTTTTGGAATCAAAGGTTAAAGTAATGCTTTGTTTTTTAGAACCACATTTGAATACTAATGAAGCCATTGAGCTTTGCTGATTCTTCTGATTTATTTTCCTTTGAAATGTTTCAATGTTGTAATTAAATAGGAAAGCTCTTTCTTAAGAAAATAAAATTTGAGAAGAACCCAAAGCGGTTCTTGAATAATTTCAAGATACAAAGTGGACAATTGTAAAATTCTTGAGGGAAATAATTTTTTCCATAGGAAAATGTCTTTAAGTTATTGTGTTGTCTAATTATGCCATTCACATGTTGTTAATATTCATTGTTAATCATTCTTGACATTCTGAGCCTTAATGAGGTCACTAAAATCATAATTTGAGGAATTTTCTGGCATTACTTTTCTTTTTGGTGGACTGTTCCAGGCATTAACTCATCAAATCGAAGTGCAATGGGAAACAGCACAACAGCAGTGGAAAAGTGAAAACCAAGGGAGGCCTGGCTCAGGCCAACCCAAACCTCCCTTGCTTTTTCATAGTTCTGCTACTATAACCTTATTTTCTATTTCACTCTGTTTTATGAACTGAGTGCCTGGAAAAGGCAAATTTTTTGGTAGTTTTTTTGTACAACACCAGCAGAGGATAGCTGTAGAAGGCCATATATTTCCATTATTTGTTATTTGTTTTTCTTTGTGCCCTTAAATGAATTTGATCTGTGCAATGACAAAGGGAGACAAATCAGGCAGCTCAGTCAAGTGATTTTAGATTCCCTTGAGCATCAAATAAAAATGTCTTCTTATGGGCCCAGTTACTCTAATGTTGCAGTTGTGAATGTGATCATGAATTTTTTCTCCTTTAGAACAGGACATAGTTACTGGGAGGAAAAGTTAAAGTTACATCACATTTTGGAATTATTAATCAAACAATATTTCATACAAAATAAAAAAAAGAGTATTTGAACCAAGGAAGTTGCCTTTGTTTAGCAGTAGTTGGGGTGTCCTGGAGTGTAGAAAGAAGACCCTTATTGAAGGGTTGGCGTTTGTAATTAAAAGGGAATTTTTACACATTTGTTCCTTCATCTTTTTCTTAGGTCAAATTAACAGTGGTAATTGAACTAACTGGAGTGCAATTTGGTCTGAAATCATAGGCATGATTTCAAAATCAAACAAGTGTGCAGCAAGAGTTTGATTTGAAATTAAAAGTATGATTTGAGACCGACGTTCCATGACAGGAAGTGAAATTACCACTTTATTACATCCATTTTGAAACTGCAAAATTCAGTTGGTCAAACACAGGATTTTTCAGTCTGTACAATGTTTTGTTGATCATAGTGAGCTGGTTTGAAGACAGTTGCAAAAGTTGTTTTTCATTTGCCTGAAATTTGATTGGTTTCTAACAAGCAGTAGGTTGTTTTGGGGAAAAAAAATGTGATTTAGTTTAAAAAAAATCTGGCGATTTTACGGTATGCACAAGCCCAAAATAGTTTAAAAAACGCTTGAAATTTTCAAACTGATATCTGGTACTCTTGATAAGTTTCAAAGAACCTTTGAGCAAACAAATTGTGCAAATTTCTGAATACATTGAGCATGTAGATCATCAAGACCATGCTGTGGGCATTTAGAGGTAGCTTGGTTTGTAACCAAATTGAGGGATCAATCGCTTGAAAGATCACCCATAGCCAAAAAAGGCTGTACTTTTTAGATTGTTATTATAAATAACCAGTCTAACTTCATAGCAGGCTTGTCTAAAGAAAGTCAGTGTGTTCCTTGTAGCCCAAACCCCGGCGCCCCTCCTCCCTGAAAAAGTTAAGATGAGTTAGAGTGAGTTTTGGATGGTGAAGTTTCAGTCTTGACCGTTTGCACTTGTTATCACTGAATTTGACCGATTACTGCGATGGCCGCTCTCAGTTATGCTTTTTGATGCCTTTCGTGACTCAGACATTATTACCCATAGTCCCTTTTGGCACTATTTTAAAGGAGGGCTGGGATCTAGGATGTTATCAGCCAAGGTGTGTTTCTTACTCTGAAAATGGCGGAGCTTATAACAATGCAATAACGATATTTTGAAAGCCACAAAGCAATAGTTTCGCCGATTTCCGACCCTTATTTGCCAATTGAGCCTCAAGGTACGGTTTTGTTCTTTACTTTCATTCTCTTTTGGGTTTATAGTCAAATTGAGAGTCTTGCTCGCTTGCATCAAACTTACAAACGCCTTCATTTCGTTCGTGAGAATCTTGAAGCTCTTGATTGTACGTTTATTTGCTTTGTGTTGGAAGATTTTTGTATTCAAAACGTGTAATGTATCGTATTGTTTTTTTTTTTAATTTGAAATTTCTCTTCTCTGAAAAGAGATACTCGCTTCTCCGTAAAGCTTGAAATCTAGGACGTTTGCTTTAGATAAGGTATTACTTCACATTTACAGTAGTTATTTCTCTCCGTCTGTAGCAGCGTTTGATATTGTTTCCATTTCATTTATGTTCTTAATAATGCATTTGCCATCCTTCCTTCGTATTTTTCTACATTTTCACATTGAAGTTAAGGAAATGCACTCACTGGTTTACGGTTTAGCTGAAGCAAAATGAACTATTCTGATTTCAACCTCGCTATTTTCTTCGATCATCGATATTTGTCATGTTATTTTAACAGTATTTAGAGTAATAAGCACCGAGTTATGGCTTGTAGAGGCCGCGTAGTTCAAAATCAGCTTTATACTTCAGCTTTGCGTAAACACTAAACTTAGTCGAATAGTAACAGTGCTGATATAATAACATGGAATGCTTTTTCATGAATATTGAAGGTACAGTGGCAGGTATACATGGCTTGAAATAATATTTTTATGCCATTACTTACTGTTCAATGAAGGAGAATTGCGTTAATATATATGCTGGGTTTAATAATTCTAGAATATTGTAACACTCAGTTCAACCTTGTGCTAACTTTGTGCATCAATTGTCTTGGATTATTGCTGGAATATCCTTGCGTCCTTAAAATATTCACAAGCATTAGGCATGGGCTTTGTTTTATTTGTCCTTTGTAAAAGAATGTCTCGTGCATTGTTTCCCATTATCACAACGTAAAGGGCATTTTTCTTTAACTTTAGTAATTGCCCAAGTGCAAAAATTAATTAAAAATAAAAACTTCAAAAAAAAAAAAAAGGCTTAACTTTGTCTTACTCAATTATAATTTTATGAATGGAAAATCTTTTAGAAGGGCTGGTTTCATTCTTGGCTTTGTTGTACATAAATGCAGTTTCATGTGGCTGATTCATTTGTTTTACAGTTCATTGATGCTAACTGAACATTGAGATGGCTTCTCAACAGCATGCATTTTTTTACCTTAAAGAAGAGTCCTCCCTCTGTATTATAAACAAGTGATCACGTGTTTCCTTGTGAAATGAGTGATGGTAATTGAACTAAGTGGAGTGCAATTTGGTCCAAAATCATGTGTGATATCAAACTCAAATGAGCGCACAGCTTGAGTTTGAATTGAAATCACAAGTATGATTTCGGACCAAAGTTGTGCTGGTTTGTGAAAAGTTGTAACCTCTTTTATTGATTTATTTTACAAGCCATTACATTTGATTTGTTGTTGTGGGATTTAGAGTATAAAATGGTGTGATTTGTGAATAAATCACGGCAGCGAGAGCCAATCAGGATGCATGGATCACAAGTAATTACAAAATGGACGTGATAAAGAATTGACGTCATCTGTACAATCAGAAGTTTCAGAAATTTCCCTCTTTACTGTGACTTGGGCAACTTCTGGAATTTCTGCAACTTCAAAAAACACAGGTGATATAATCTGTAATTTTACTCTGCCCCATGTGGTTATCTACCCGAACAACCCTGCATTCAGTGATATGGTCCATACAATGAACAAGGGTTTGTCTTCCAACAAGCATATTACAAGTATATCTACTGTTTTTATGAAAATAATGGATAGCAAAAATGTTGACACCAAAATATCATAGATGATAAGATCAAATAGCCTTATGGTTAACATTTCCTGGAAGAAAAGAGTTATCTTATGGTAGGTTTTACATGAAAATGTGGGGACAGAAACTGTTGGTTCTCAGTGTTTATGGTTCATGCTTTGTTGGGTGTTAACTTTTTTTGTAATTGAGTGTACGCAACAATGAAAATTGCACTTAATAGTAATAATCATTCTGTCTGACATTGAAAATTAAAAGAAGGGGTTTGTTGCTCCCAGCAAGCTGGGTTGTAGCAATTGCAACTAATCCTTTGCAGCAACTGAGAAGTGTTATTTTATTTACTACTTTAGGGATTTGAAGTGGAAAAAAAAAAAAACAAGTGGTACACTGGAGAATGGATTAAATGTTCAAAATTAAAATGCTTGTGTTGCATTTCTATTTACAGGCTTTGCCAAAGTATCAACATGGGAAAGTTATTATCAAAAATATTGGGTAACAAGGAGATGAGAATTTTGATGTTAGGTCTTGATGCTGCTGGAAAAACCAGTATCCTTTTGTCACTGTTCTATTTTTACATTTAACCTGTCATTTTTAATTGAACTGTTCATTCTGGAATAAGGTGATGTTTTGCATATTTGCCTGAGCTGAATGTTTTTTTTTTATTTTTTATATTGTAACAATTAAACAAAAAATTGATAAAATGATTAAGGCTAAAAATAATTTTCTACGTGTTTCAGGTTGTCAGAGATTACTAGTCAGGGCTGCTCCTAGAAATGCTCTGATTACAAGAAACTTAATTTTTATTTCTTTATCTCTAAGGGTACAAATGGTTGAAAGCATACTTTGAGGAAGCATTAAGCAAGCGTGAAAGATAAAAGCAGCATAACCAAAACCATGAAACTGTCCTTATTGACAAATCTTGTCAAAGATAATTCTTTGTTCAAATTCTTTGTGCTAGCATGACTTTTTCTTTTTTTTTTTTTTTAGTCAAAGCTAACAATAGTGGTGCAAAAGTATCTCTAATACATTGTACTTATCCTTAACATTTTGCCAGCTATTTTATATAAACTTAAGCTTGGGCAGTCAGTTACAACTATACCAACAGTAGGTTTTAATGTCGAAACTGTATCCTACAAGAATGTCAAATTCAATGTGTGGGTAAGTATTAGGTTTGTGTACTGAGGAAAACATGAAGGACTGTCGGGGAGGCAGGGGTGCAGGCCAGTAAGGGAATCCTGATATATGTTCCTACTGTAATTTATTGGAATCACTTAAAATTGATTTAAATTTGAACTTACCAGTTGATTCACATTAACCAGGATCTATGTCCCGCTTCTCCTTTTTTATCGTAAGTAATAGTTCAATGTCAAATCCAAATGTTTCTTCATGCTGGAACCATCTTTGCTGGCCATTGATTTGTCATCTCTCAATTCATTGGCTCCTACCTGTTTGGCATCATCTACATAAGGATATGGGTTTTTTTCTTTTTAATTTTTTTCCCCAACCATAGTTTTCAAGAAAGGGTTATGTAAAATGTTGAGACTTGTGCAAGTTATTCACAAAAATGTGTTTGCAAACTAAATCCTTTATTCCGAATAACCAGCTGCCATGTGTAAACATAAATGACTCCTGAGACAATTTTGGCTGCAAAACATCCCGGTTCTTAAATTTCAATTGCAGAAACTCTCATGGTTTCAGTTTCCACAATCTCCAAGTTTTAAACCAGAATTCCAAAGAGCAAACACAAAAAGGAGTAGAATCTTTTGGTGAAATGCCAAAAGAAACCTGGTCATAAGAGCAAAAATAAAAAAAACAAAAAAATCTTCCCAAAACAGATAAGCTCTTCGATATAACTTTTATGGTGGTCACACTTCAAAAAGCACATTAATGATTTTTTGTGTGAAGGACACCTGCAAAGGTCTACTGTATCCTTAGTTAGAATTCAAAACTCATTTCTCTTATTGGGTCGGTTAGTTTTTTTAATGGTTGACACAAGTAGTAATGGTTGCAAGGTTGCTCAAAGCTATTAGTCTTGATTATCAGACTATTTATTTCAGGATGTTGGTGGACAAGATAAGATTCGGCCCCTATGGCGCCACTATTACAATGGTACCCAGGGCTTGATATTTGTAGTGGACTGTGCAGACTTAGACCGCATTGATGAGGCAAGAACAGAACTTCACCGGATAGTCAATGACAGGGAGATGAAGGATGCCCTTATTTTAATATTTGCAAACAAACAAGACTTGCCCGATGGTGAGTGGTATTTCTTTCTTAGCCCTGAAACTCCTGAAAGTGATTAACATGTGACTTCTCCCCATAATATCAATAACTTATTCGGCTAACTTGTGATGAGATTACTCAAACTTATCAGGTAGAAGTTGTTAGTTATTTTGATCTAACACCAGATTCTTGTAACCTATTTTACATCCAAATGGGGAATTGTCTACAAGGTCACTGACTGGAAACTTTTTAACAAAGTTGAGCTGGAAGACCATAGTTAATTGCTTGGTGCGAAATGTGATTAACAGAAGTAGAATTTCATGAAAATGAGAATGAGTTTTTCAATTGCAGATACAACAAACCATCATTAACCCTCCATACTGTTACACACACTGTAGCCAACAAGAAGAATTTGTGTACAATCAAATGAAAGTTTCTTTAGTTTGTGATCAAGGCCTTTATTCTCATGATCCTAATACGTGATTCAGGTGTGATATTGTAAAAAGAAGTTAAACGTTAGTCACTCTTAGGGACCAAAGGGCTGATACTCATGTCAGGGCATTTCTTTTATAGCTCTCAAACCTCATGATGTTCAAGAAAGACTACACCTAACCAAGCTAAGAGACAGAAATTGGTATGTCCAGCCATCGTGTGCTACATCTGGTGATGGCTTATATGATGGATTGACCTGGCTTTGTTCTAATCATAAACATTAATTATTGAAGAGAGGGGCTTTAGTGTGTGTATACACTCTAGCTACATGTACTATAAATTGTTGCCTTATAATTTTTTATACCCACCTCAAGATAGATCTGTATGTAGAATGTTGCATGAGTATCTACTTAGTAGGTTAATGTTTCATTCATGCATCTCTACATTTAGTGGATGAAAGTGTAATCCGTTGCTTGATAAGCAGAAGAAAAGACAGTTACTACTAACAAGAGAGAACCTAGACATTGTAGGTTATTTATATAGCACCTGTTCTTTTAATGTCACTTGTAGTTAAAAAAGAAATCGAAGCTATTAATCTAGAGAGTATATTGTACATTTAGGGCATAACTCTAATATAGAGTTCTAGTGCCTTCAAAATACTTAACTTTACCCAGCCAGCTGATATCTGTTTCATTGCGTTTACCCTGAGCATTGCTTTTACGTAAGCATTGCTTTAAGAGAAGGAACCTTATTTTATGCACTCAGATTTGGCTTTAGACCTTCTAAAGAATGAAAAATATAATTTTGTTGATCATGAATAAACTTGCAAATATCACCTTAAACTGTACAGAAACTTTATGGAACAAACAAACATCGCTAAAGATTTAAGAGTTTTGCTATAGCAAGTACAAAATAATTTGCAGTGCAGTTCAAATTTGCAGTTTTTGAGGGATTGGCAATGACTTACAAATATGGATTAAGGTTAAGATTTGAGTAAGAGGATTTGGGTTTTTACACACTCAATGTAAACTAGCAGCTTTTAGTGTTCAAATGTTTTTGAATCATTTAACTAACATACAGGAGTGAAATTTCATTTTCAGACTTAATCGGGTTGAGTTGTTACAACCACCCAAAGGTTAACCCAGGACTAGTACTAATCTGGTTGTTCTAAACAATCCTGCCCTGTCTGTTAATCCAAGAGGTATAACGAATTGATATACAATTGTCTGTACTGTTGTTTTCCATCATGTATTTTTTGTTATTTCGTTGACATATTTTAACAAAAACATATTTCTAAATGGTTTAAAAATACCTTTGTTGACTTGTGGTAGGGGTAGCGGTAGCAGTCAACTCTTTAATATTTTTTACTGCAATGGTTTTTTTTTTTATTTTCTTAGTCATGTAAACCCAGATCATGAGATTTACACGTATAAAAGAAAGTAATGTTCTATTACTATTTACTGGCTATTCCATTTTGCTCAAGGTCAGTCTGAATGTTGGGATGTCATGTTAAATAGACTGTCCGTCAATTGGTAAATTTACAATTGATTGTAAAGTAATATTCTGAAGGAAGCAGTGCTAATATGTGTGGCTGTTGCCAACTTCTTGTGGCACTTTATGCATTTATGCAACAGTTATATAGTTGGAGGGATTGTGCTATGTCAATCTTGGCAGGGCTTATCATAGTCAAGGACAATCCAGAACAGCCTTCGGGTAACATAAACGTTCCCTAAGAATTTCCAAAGAAGTGGCTTAACCAAAGTATGATTTTGTACTTTCCTGTGTGGGTATCTGCTTGTACTGAATATGGGGGAAAACAGTAACATTTCTGATTAACTTTCCGTTAATTTTAAGCACTTAGTGTATAAGTCATGTAAATGAAGCCTATGTGCTGGTAAGATCATTTTAAAACTAAAATGAAGCCAACATGAACTGGATTTTAAGAAGTAACAAATTACGCTGAACAACTTTATTGTGATTAGGACTTGTTTTAGTTAATTTGCTTTGAGAGTTAATGAACAGTAAAGGAATTTTCAAAGAAGCTTCTACAAAAGGTGTAGGGAGAGTCACTGTCGTTTTTTAAGGTAAACAAAATTAACAATCATCAGGTCAGTTATTGTACAGTCAGGCTATATTAGATATAATGTTGCTTTGGTAAGTTAGTTGGAGTGATGGTAACGTGGCTCAGAGACGTGTGTGTAGAACGCTCGGGTTAATTATTATTCTAAACAATGCCCCTATCGATCCTGCAACCCACAGGCCTTTGATTGTCGTTCGTGCACCGGTGGGATATTTGAACTTTGGTTGGGGTGGGGAATTCGAACTAGAAGTGTCAAGTCTTTCCTGCAGAATACACGTGTTTTATCCTTAATACGAAGGTGTATAAAGGTAAAGAGTTCATTTTATTTCGAGCGAATGGCTGAACAGAAAAGGTCTTTAAGGTCTTGGTTTTAAATCGTGGTCTGAATTTGCCTTTCGCAAAAATTCTGACTATCAAATCCTTTGGTAGGGCATTTCAGCCCAGTTTTGGCTCGGAGAGGCAAGAATTTGAAACGAGTCATTCTTCAAAGGTTCAAATCCCTGGGGGTTGCTCTGGAGGATGTTCAACTTTCTAATTGATTTAAAAAGCTCCTCATAAAATTTAAAATGAATACTTTGAATTGATCGATTTACACTGATGTCTGTTAGTAACTACTTATTAAAGAAAAAAGTAATACAATGTACACTGGTTTATTTGTAAGAAAACACCTGAAAATAAATAAGTTTCTAATGTATTCAACATTTATATCAGGGTCGTGGTCCTCATTATTGAACACACTTTTTGACACCAGCCTCACTTCTACAAACAGTGAATAATGTTATCTCTTGGTGAACTCGTGGATACTTATGGTCCAGAGGGTTACCGATCACTTTGCGGACATGTCCGTTCGCCGACACCATTGGCCAACTCGCGCGAAACTTCAGTCAACTCAGTATTGCTGACACTATACCGTTGTTACGTTTACTCCAGAAAACGGGCGTCAAATTTTTTTATCAGTACGTTTACTGAAGTTAACACTTGCTCAAGAAAGTTAAAAAAAGGCATTGATTTACTCTAACTGATTGAGCTTTTTAAGCTTAAAAATTAAAAAAGAGGATGGTGACTTAGTATGTCAGCAGTGACCGGTGTAGAGGTTTTGCACAGCAGCCATGTTGGATGGCAGGAACAATGAAAATATTTTGCATAAGAAAGAAAAATTTTTCCCGAGGGTAACTGGGAAAACTTTTCCCGAGGGTAACTGGTCCAACATGGCTGCTGTGGAAAACCTCTATATGGGCGAGTTGACGTATGGCGTCGGCGAGGTGACCGGAGTAGTACAGGTCGTCTGGATGAAAGTAATCAATCAATCAGAGAGCGATGCATATAATTAATGTTCCATATATAGTCAAAAGAAAACAATTGGTTATACGTCATCATGAATATACATAACAATAAAAACGTGACGTCACGGATATACATAACAATGAAATGTGACGTGTAAGACGACGTCACCACGGCTGTTTCGCGGTGGAAATTTAGTTCGCGCATGCGTTCTACAAGAAACATCGAGTTAATTATTACTTCTCTGGTTAATACCAAATTATGCATATAATGAACCCCAAATAAGGCTTTATGGATGATTCTTTTAATACCACACTAAACCCGCCCTTGTGATATCATTTTGCTTTCGATTTGCTCATTCCAGAGCCGTTCGTGACGTGTTTCTGTCATTCATTTTCTGTTTACTATATTTGGGGTTCATTATATGGAAACCTCTCTCCGATTGCTTCATTCTGACAGACGCCGTGACGTCGTCTTACACATCACATTTCATTGTTATGCATTTCCGTGACGTCACGTTTTCATTGTTATGTATATTCATGATAACGCATCACCCATTGTTTTCTATTGACCATCGATACTACTGACCGGGTACCAATCAGATAACTAGGCGACCATTGGATGGCGTTATCCACCCTTTCGGACGAAGAGGCTAGGCTTGGAGACTCGCAGAAATTCTAGAAAAGAAGTCTTGACGGCTAATTTCGTGCCAAACATGTACAGTGGAAGGACCCCTTACTCGGAATTTGAACTACTTTCGATTCTTGGGAGAGTAAAAATTAAACATATTTATTTGGCCATACTTAAAGTTGACCCTACGAAATAATATAAGGGTTATATTCTAAACAGTATATCCACGAGTTCACGTCTTACTTTCGTTTATCAAGTGACGCGTGCGGCCCTATAGCCGGGCTTGCAACCAATCTCTAGAGACACAGGTAACAATGGTGAAGGGAAAAAATGCTGGTGGACGAACAAAAGAAGCTAATGAGATATCTATTGTTTACGTCCACCAACATGGCGGCAATGACGTAACGTGCAACCTACCTATCCAAAAACTGAAGTGTGTGGGGCCGGAGTGTTGGCCGTGAGCCGTTCCGCTCTAAGGATACGGTAGGCCTTCGATGACCAACTTTTTTTCAATTTGTTTTCTTCACTTATTCATTTGTTTTATTTTTGTTTGTTTGTTTGTTTGTTTGTTGTTTTTTTTTTGTACCTCAAACACGTTTCAACTTAAAGTTTCCAAGAACAGTGTATTAGATATTGAAACGCATGCGAGTTCTTCACCAAAGCCAAAAGCTTGTTCTCCACTCTTCTGGTTTTTTTTTTTTTTTTTTTTTTTTTTTTTCGTATCTTATCAATACTGATAGAAAGACTGTGACTGGGGATTGATTTCCTCTCTTGAGGGGTTTAACCCAGATCATCTTACTCCAGGTATAAACAAAAAGAAGATCATTATTTATTGGTCCCTCAGGAGAACACTAAAATTTGGAACAAAGAGTTGTTCCCAGGACACATGGGTAGGCTATGGGTATAGGAGAATAAAGGCTGATAGTTTCGAAAGAAACTGTTAACGCTCGAAACGTCAGCTTTTGTAATCATTACGGTGGCCAATTTACCATTTCAACTTTGTTGATATATCCAAATTATATGGGTATAGGAGAGACTGGAACGAACAGCGTTCCCTTGGCCCACTGGGAGCACCTCGTTTTCGCGTAGTCTTGATTTTGGGCGCGCTAGGCAGGCGGGTTTTGATTCGTAAACCACCTCATTTGGAAGGAAACCTGCACCAGAGGAATGGTCCAGAAGCGTGTCAGATCGTGCACATCCATTTCTCGCGAATGGAGACGGTAACCTCGAAAGATATATTCTTATGTATTCTGGTCACCATTGAAACCTTTCGCTCCGAGCTTAAAACCGGTTGACCAGCAAAGTTGGTGAAGTTATTCTATCCACGGTGAGTCTGAATTTTTCCAACTTCGTCTGACGTTAATTATTCTTCGTAATCACTCCTGCATCCTAGCTCTTTCACCGCATGTCTTACGGCTGAATTGAAAATGGCTATTTTTTTTCTTGCAGACGCTTTGATAGCGAAAAAAGAAAGCTTTTGAGGTGAAACGTTTGGCGCCATCTTGGAATTTCGTTATGTGAACACAAACACATAATAACCATGACTATTTGGGTAGGCTCACTGAGGAAAGGTATGTTGTTCCGTGTTATGCTTTGTTACCCAACAACATCATCCTTGTCATTTTATTGCACTTGAAGGGTCTTGAAGTTTTTTGCCAAAATTTTTCTCAGGCTGAAAATATATAGCTCGAAGTATTGGGCCAACTTTCATTTTGGCCGCGGAAGATCTGGCGTTCAATTAAACAAAATTCAAGACGGCAGGTCAATCTGAAACTACTGAAGGCGAACTAATTATTTACATACACATACATACATACCTAGTTTATTTGGTAGTGCAGGTTGCTAAAAGTCAGCCAAGGGCTGATGTGGACCTGCCTATCTAAAACATTGAGGTCTAATTACATTAACTAGGATAAATACAGGTGTGGGGTATATAAGAAATTAAGAGTATGTAAAATTTACTATGTCCATTGTAATCTATTATCAGTAACTGAAAAGATAAATAGATAAGTTGAATTAAATAAATTGCATAAATTGTTCAGAAATAATAAAAGTCATCATCCTTGTTTGTAATCAGGCATGATTCCTTCGCGAAACTTAATTTATCTAGTAGTGTCTTATCTTTTTTTATGTTGTTCTTAAAACTTGCGTAGCTAACAGAAAGTTTATGATTCAGGCAGGAGATTCCACACAGTAGGCCCTCTATAGGATAAGAGGCACTGAAGCGTGAGAAATCAAAGTTTAAGCGGCGAATATCAAACGCATATAAACTAAGGGATTTAGATACGACAATCAAAGAGCTCAACAAGCTTGTTGAAGCAGTAGTGAAAGTGAAGTTTGGAGGTATTCGTGATTGACGAAAATATTGCATCGGCCAACTTTACTCCATTCTAGAAAGATGCATGATTCACGCAAAGACTGCGATATATGCCGTCTTAGCTTAAGAATGAGCAAACTACATCTGTGGATGGTTTGCTTTGAACTTCCCATTTCCACAGGAGGTCTTCGATCTTTTGCAGAAGGAGATTCTTGGTTTAACAAGGTATGGGATAGAGGTTGAAACCAAACTGAGATCTGTGGCTATAACATTTTCAAGCCTGAGAAGGTTATGCGATCTTTTTGACAAATTTGAAGTTTGTGGTGGATTCAGAAAAGAACTTGGTGAAGGAAAGGAGAGGCAAAACTATTTGTCAATGATCAGAAGATGGGAACTATGATCTACAATGGTAAAGAGGTGATTTTGAGAGCAAAGCTTCATTATGGTTACTGGAATTCCTTTGGGATCAGTCAACATTGAATAGAGGACTCATATTATTGACACATGCCATTGCTCAATCATTTTTCTTGAATGATTTCAGGGAAAAACATCTCAATAGTCCCTCATCAATTTTTTTTTTACAAAAATATATACTCTAACATCTTAAAATTCATGTTTGTTGATTACAATGTGGTTTGTCTGACATAATAACTAAAACCTAGAATTGCATGGAACACCAACTGAATTACAGTTTATTGTTTAACTGATAGAGTTGCCATTTATTTAGAATAGTATATCCTTTAATGATAAGATTTTATGAAACAATTACACATTACAAGGCTGTGCTGTAAGAAAAACGTTTGGCTGCCCCTACGTCAGGTGAAAACATAGCCTACAATGCTACACAGCTGAACTTCAAAAAAGACAGTCCTTCTGGAAAATAAGAAATGTTATATAATTAGTCAACTCAGTTGAATATATTAGTCTTGTAGGGCAGCCAGGTGATTGCTCTATGGTACAGCCTTGCATAACATACTCAGGATGACATTGCATCTTGAGGTAATACATGCTAAATTCATTTGGAGTACCTCAAACATTCTTGTGTTGGTTTGCCATCACATACAGATTTCTTAATCTCCTGCATGAGTTTATGCCCACAGAATAAGCAATGTTCACTGTCAGCTTGGTTGTGTACCACTCGCGTGTATTGTGGCATCTGCATTCGCTGTCCATCACATGTGATGTGTGAGAATTTACGCGCTTTCTGGTACGCCCTTAACACATTCTGCTCGAAAAAAGGCTCTTCTGCTCAGAATTGACTTCCAAAATAGAGTATTCTGATCAAAATTATGCTCCCAAAGTATTATTATGCTCAAATTATTTAATCATGACAAATGCCTCCTTTCTTTAAAAAAATGTAATAAATTATTTATTTATCTTTTATTTAATTAATACAATTTTATTTAATTAATGACAACTAAATAAATCTAAATGTACAAACAAAGAAAGCCTTGAGGATAATCTGTAAAAGAGTGGAACACCCCATGCAAGACAGATCACCGTGTAGCTAATTTAAATAAGTCAAATATAATGAGGGACAGAAAAATTTTAGATCAAAAATAAAAACATCAATGTTCCTTACTTGAAAACTTTCTCACTCTAGACTTAAAAACTGCAAGACTGGGAGATAATCTAATATCTAAAGGTATTGAATTCCACATTTCAACAATTCTATTAAAATAAGTGGATTTAAAATTAGTCGTTCTTGCAAAATTCATCTTGAAGGAAGAGTCATCAACATGTTTAAATCTGTAGGGATCGTCCCAAGAATGGAAATTCAAAAACGGAAGAACATCCACATTTAAGTATCCATTAAAAGCCTTGTACAAAATTGTAACATCAAAAAGAAAACATCTCTTTTCAAGTGAAAGCAAGTTGAGACATTTCAGGCGCTCGTCATAAGTAAAATTCCTTTTTCCGAGAATAAATTTTGTTCCCCTCCACTGTATGCGCTCAAGCTTTTCAATGTTTCTCTTGGGTTGTGGCAACCACACAATTGTTCCATATTCCACTTGCGATCTAACCAACGTGCAGTACAGCATCTTCAGAGTTTCAGTGTTCATCCAGCCTCTACAGGTTCTTCTTAGCGGGCCCAAGATTCTATTAGCTTTATTTTTAATAGCATCAACATGAGAGTTCTAGGAAAGATGGTGGTTCATAAGCAAACCTAGGTTGTGAAACTCCTAAACTTCTTCTATGTCCGATCCGTTTAGGGTGAAGCTAGATCTGAATGGTTGTTTCTTCCGGGGTAATGCGCATCATCTTGCATTTCTTAACATTGAAGGTCATCCTGTTATGTTGACTCCAAGTGCACAGACCTCAACACAACTTTACTACTGCAATGTACTTTGGGCACATACACACTAATTATGGCCAACAGGGTACTCAATATATTACAGTGACCACAACTTGAGTGTAGTGAAATATACCCTGTGACTCACAACAGAATGTCCACCGGAGCTCAGGCGGGTGCCAGCTCTTATTGAAAGCACTTATTGCTTCAACATTGATGTGATTGGTAATCAGTACCTCTTCTGGTGTTAGACAAGTGCATGAGGTCATTGCTGACAAATAGATTAGGAAATTAAAGCAGAAGTAAGCAGTAATGATAGGAAAATATAGATGACTTTTTTTTTTAAAGAATAATCAATCTTGAAGAAATCCAAGATGGTTACCTTACAAAATGACAAATATGAAATGATATAGGATTATGACAAAAGTGTTCTAATTTAACACTAAAATAAAAATTGTTAATTGTTATTGGACAATTTGTTGGTGGTAAACAGGTTTGTGGATGGTGAAGGGCTAGTGGACCAAGTGTACAGTGTAGTTGTGGTGGACGCTACTGCTAGGCAAGTTGTGGATTCAGGCAATGTCAGCTCTGTAATGCCCAGTGCCCCCACACCTGTGGCAGCATTTGTCCCTTTGCTCTTTGCCTCCCAGACACTGCTGGAAATGATGCTCTATTGATGATGGTAACACAAAAGTAATCAACAAATCATTACTGGTGACATATTATTTTTGATGAAAAGGTATTAGTCCTTAGTTGACAGACGAGCTCTGAGATCATCTGTTTACCTCTCTTTGACTTCTTCTCCCCAGCTGCTCTTTTCTTTTTCTACTCCTAATCCTCCTTTTAACATAACCACTCCCTGTTGAGTACAGTCGAGTAGAGATTAAGGGAAAACAACATCTCAGCCAGTAAGCTGAATTATGTTAAATTTATTTTGAATACAAATATATCTAAAATCCACATCTAAGAAAGGAACGTATACATATAAATAAGATTATGATATGGAATTTACAATAAATGTAAGAAAGTATGAAATGTATTTAGTATCTTGTAGGGAACTTAAAGAGCACACGGAATCCGCATTGCAACACAGCTTTATTCACTCGCACACTCCTTCTATATACATTACACAACCTCCTTCACGTGCTTCATGCTAATTAGATTACGTCATCACCGATACTATTACACAAACACTAAATCCCTCCCTTGATTGAATTTAAACTCAGCTATAATCCCTGGTGCTATTTTCGGTAAATAAGCGAAACCAACAGAACTCGTTAGCATACTAAAATTTGCAATTGTTCAGTCAAAGTTCATTGACAACTGTTCAGTGTAACTGATAGTCCCTCAGATGTGCCGGTGCACGTCTGACACGAGCAGATCTTCGCGTATCTTGTTCCGCTGCCCGTGGAGGATTCATTGCCTGTGGAAGATCAAAATCCATCACATAATCATCTTCCTCCCGTACAGCAGTGTTCTGGTGTAACTTGTGGACATGCGATACATTGCGCATGAACACACGTCCATTTCTTCGCTGCAGAATAAGGCTCGGTCCCTTACGTTCTAGCACTGTGTAGGGTTGAGGGTCATACAGCGTTGATAGCTTGTTCTGCCGCGCCTGCTGTAGCAACACTTTGTCTCCTGATTTGATGTCTGATGGACTCGCTCTGTTTCTCTTGTCTGCATAAACCTTTGTGCGCTGCTTGGCTTGTTGGTCCTTACCCTTTGCAGACTGTATTGCAGCAGATACAGCATTCGACATCCGTGTCTCAACTTGTGGGACTTTGGTTCTGATCTCACGTCCTAAATGTAGAAACGCCGGCGACGCTCCGGTAGTCGCATGAGGTGTCGCACGGTAGTTCAGTAGGAAGGCAAACATGTCAGTGCGCCAATCCTTTCCTTCAGCATGCGCAGTGCGAATTGCCTTCTCAATTGTCTTGTTAAATCGTTCAACCCCTGCATTCGCCTGAGGCCAGTAGGGTGTGACCTTCCGATGCTGGATGCCATGCGTTGCCAGGTACACCTCAAATTCCTCTGACACAAGATTTGCACCGTTATCTGTGACTACTTTCTCTGGAAGCCCATGTACAGCAAATATCTTTCGAAGATGTCCGATTATGGCCGCAGAGGTAGTTGAGCGTACAATGACTACTTCAGGCCAGCGCGTACATGCATCTTCACAAACCACGAGACTTTCTCCTGTAGGGAACGGTCCACAGAGATCGATGTGTACCTCTTGCCATGGTTTGTCAGGCATCACTGTAGGTCGGAGTGGCTCTGCAGTAGACTTGCCCGCAACAGATTGACAGGGTAGACATGCCTTGACCATTGTCTCCACTTGATGTGTGATACCTGGAAAAGTGTTGTGAATCTAAAATGACAGCAGCCTTTCTTGGGAAAAAAATAAAATATTTGGTGGTGTTGGCTATTATAAAGCTAGACTAGTACCATTTGGTTTTATAGACAGGTACTGTGAATTTCTGTGCCTTAAAAGAAATTGGGCAGTTGTTGACATTTGGCAGTAGATGGTTTAGAGTGGTCTGTATTATTGACAATGTTGTTGAAAGAGCACTTGGTAAGGGTCTGCTGCCTTGCATGGGAGGAGGTGAGACGACCTCTGAAGGGTATCGGAGTAACTAGCACAGATGTAGATGATCCTCAGGGTGCACCTTCGAAGCCTCTCTAACTCATCTGACAATTAGTTGGGTAGAGCCTTTTGCCTCTTCCCACAATCTCTCCTTTCTCTCTCTCATTCTCCAATACAATTTCTCTGCATGAGCGTTACAATCTAAAGCAAAAGAAAAACAAAAACACTTAATTACCATAAAGAACCATGTGGGACAGCACATTTTGAATATTCTCCCAGTCATGTTATAGCCCTGCATTTGATAATTCGACTACACTATGTTTCAGTCTACCAATAGTGTCACCCCCCTTGGGACCTGTTTGAGAGGTAAATAACTAAACAGGCTTGTTCTTCCAAACAGTGACAACAGTGTTTCCTTAGCAATGAGGCAACAATTCTCCTTGACGAAGTTTCTTAACTCTTTGAGTCGTAGGTGTGATTTCCCTTGAGATGCCTTGTCAGTTTCCAAAAATGGTTCTGCACAGAAAATTTAATCATAAAGTAAATCTTCCACAAGAGCAAAGAGTTAAAACATGCTGCACATGTGCTTTGAAGTGGGATCGTGTGGGGATTGATACTGGAAAGTGACCCAGCGAGAGGTTGAACCCTCCTTCATTTGGCAAGGATTGACTGTTCTGTTACTTTTTCTGTCAAAGACACTCCACTAAGGTTGGGGGAAAGGTAGTGTCTGCCTAAAATTAATAGAGAGCCTTGGAATGTATCTACAGCTTAATGAAGATTAGCCAATGATTCTCTCATGAAAAGAACAAAACTAGGTGGGCTGCCTGATCTTCTACTTGCTGGTGCTAGCTGGAAAGATTGTCTAGTGGCCCGTAAAAGCAGTTAACAAAGGTATTTTGTTAACTGGATAACCTGGAAACTAT